CAGCTAGGCAGACGTGACTTAGAAGAATAAGACTGTTCGCTCCAAGAGAGAAATGCCTTAAGTGTTGCAGCGCAAAAACCAAAAATGACTGGAAATAAGAGCGCATAAATAGTGCATAAATCCTATGTATTTAATTTTCCAAATCGGTTGTTTGTAACGGGTCGAGGGGCTAACTGACTGCCTAGGCAGTCACCCACAAAAAATTTTTTTTTTAGCTAAACGGAATGAGCTAAATCGTGAGCAAACGTTGACCAAACGAATGCAACAAAAAAATATTCGATTTTTTAATATTGGGGGACTAGGGTGAAGTTGACACCCAAAATTTAAATTTCTTATAACTTTTGAACTAAGGGTGAGCAAACGAAAATTCCGACGGAGCAATCGTGAGCAAACGTTGAGCAAACGAATGCAACAAAAAAATATTCGATTTTTTATATTGGGTCGCGCTAGCGTGAAGTTGACCCCCCAAAATTTAAATTTCTTATAACTTTTGAACTAAGGGTGAGCAAACGAAAATTCCGACGGAGCAATCGTGAGCAAACGTTGAGCAAACGAATGCAACAAAAAAATATTCGATTTTTTATATTGGGTCGCGCTAGCGTGAAGTTGACCCCCCAAAATTTAAATTTCTTATAACTTTTGAACTAAGGGTGAGCAAACGAAAATTCCGACGGAGCAATCGTGAGCAAACGTTGAGCAAACGAATGCAACAAAAAAATATTCGATTTTTTATATTGGGTCGCGCTAGCGTGAAGTTGACCCCTCAAAATTTAAATTTCTTATAACTTTTGAACTAAGGGTGAGCAAACGAAAATTCCGACTGAGCAATCGTGAGCAAACGTTGAGCAAACGAATGCAACAAAAAAATATTCGATTTTTTAATATTGAGGGACTAGGGTGGAGTTGACCCCCAAAATTAAAATTTCTTATAACTTTTGAACTAAGGGTGAGCAAACGAAAATTCCGACGGAGCAATCGTGAACAAACGTTGAGCAAACGAATGCAACGAAAAATTATTCGATTTTTTAATATTTGGGGGCAAGCGTGAAATTGACACTTATTAATTCCCTTCGCTTTACTAGAAATTGATAATAGTCTTATACACTAAAAATAGATTGTTACACATGAATGTAGCAGACTCATGTGCAAAGGGTGTTTTCTAAAAGAAAATATTACATTGCAAAATAAATTTCAGCAATTTATAAGTTATATCACTTGATTTATATTCCTTAGAGTCTTTAACATATTAATACAGTTTGATTTTATTTCATTCTATATGTGCAACATTAGCTTTGATCTAAAAATTAATTTGCAAATTCTTTGTTTTCAAATACGTAACTTCAAATTCATAAAGAAGAAAAGAATTAAAAACTTACTTTCCTCGTTAAATATTGTACATAATGTATGTACTGCATCAATTTCTATTTGATAGCGTTTTTTGAGCGTTTGTAAAGTTAGACATATTATAATAGTTCAAATACACTATTTGTAAAATAGAAGTTAAAAGAGATGAATGTACACCCAAGGACTTCGATTCTTTCCCTCCATTACTTTTTTAAAACTTCCAAAGATTCAGTTTATTTCGTTTTTACATCAAATTTAGTTGTAAGCGAACGTAAGATTTAGTCGTGTCGTTATTCGCGCACGGACTATGAGTATTTATGTAGAAAAGTGGTCATTTATCAATTTGTGAAAATTTCCGAGGGAAGGAATTCGAGTTCGGGTTATGCTGGATTTACACTGCATCCGATGTACGTCGTACGACGCTCTGCATCCAATCAGAAAACAGGATTCCGACAGGTTTTACTTCGTTTCATCAGAATCCTGTTTTCTGATTGGTTGCAGAGCGTCGTACGACGCACATCGGATGCACTGCGAATCCAGCATAGGAATTTCGACCTATCAGAAATCATGTATTGTGGAATACACACAAGATTTATTTCTATCAGGAGCTCTGCAAAAAGGTGGATATTGTTGTGTAATTAACATTAACTTCTTCAGAGGGCGGTAGTGCGCGGCAGTATTTTGCGATTACAGGTTTTGGGCCGTCATGTCCTCTCAATAAATCTGTTCGCGTTGTACGAAATCCCCAAATATTTTTGCACTTAAAATGAAATAAATACATATTTTGTCTTAAAATGAGAGAAAGCGAAGATGTCGAGTACCAAATGTGCAAGCAACGCGAACAGACCTAAGTTTTCTCTCTGGCGGTACTTTAGAAACTTAAGCCGGTATTCATAGTCAGATCTTAGGCGTCGTCTACAATACACGGAGTAAGAAGTAAGAGTAAGAAATTGACCAATCGCAGTCGAATGTGAGAAGAATAATCGACTGTGATTGGTCAATT